CAGCTTCTTGCCTATACCTCTCAGTACACATGAAGATCTCTGGTACCCACCCTATCCCCTAGTTCTTAGCACCCTGTCCTAGCCCCTAAATTCCAGTTCCCAGCCCCTAGCTCCTAATTCTCACCTCCTAATTACTATCCCTCAGTTCCTAGTCCTTAGAACCTAGCACTAAGACTCTAGCTCTCAGCTCCCAGCACCCAACTTCCAGCTCTAGCTCCTAGCTTTCAGATCCCAGTACCCAGAATCCACTCCTAGCTCCCAGCTGGCTCTCACCCTCTAGCTCTCAGCATGGAGCCCAAACTCCCAGGATCTAGCTTTTAGTACCCAACCACTAGCTGTAAGCCCTCATTCCCCAACACACAACTCTCAGTCTCAGCTCCCAGCCCAAAACTCCCAACACTGAGCTCCCAGACCCAGCTTCCAGAACCTAGTTCCAAGCACTTAATACCCATCTTCTAGCTTCAAACTCTCAGCAGCCAGTATCCAGCATCAAGCTCCCAGCACCCAGCACTCAGCTGCTAGCTCCCAGATCCAGTTCCCAGTCCTAGGTCCAAATTCCCAACTCCCACCCAGTTTCCAGCCCCAGCTCCTAGCTACCAGATCCCTGTACCCAGTCCCATCACCCAGAACTTATAACTCAGCACCTAACATCCAGATCCCAGCTTTCAGTTCTCAGCTCCCAGCTAGAGCATCCAATTCTCAACCCAAGCCACAGCTCCCAACTCCCAGCCCTCACCTTCTAGCTTGCAACACCCAGCACTCAGCTCCCATTTCCTAGCACTTTGCATCCAGCTTCCAACTCTCAGCACCAGTCTCCAGCACCCAGCACCCAGATACCAGCACTTAACACCCAGCTTCCAGCTCTTAGCATCAATTCCCAGCATCCAATACCCGGCACCCAATTACCAGCACTTAACACTTAGCTTCCTTCTCTTAGCACCCAAGTACCAGCTCCCAGACCCAATAGCTAGTATCCAGTTCCCAGTCCCCAGCACCCAGCTCCTAGCTTCCAGATTCCAGTATCTAATACCCAGTTCTAGCACCCAGAACCCAACTCCCAGATCTAGCTTCTGGCTCTCAGTCCCTGCACCCACATCCCTACCACGGCTGCCAGTTTTCGGCCCTAGCAGCCAGCACTAAGCAGCCAGATCTCAGCCCTTAGCTCTCAGCATCCAGCCCAAAATTCAAGCACCAAACTCCCAGAACCCAGCTACTACTACCCAGAACTCAGCTCATAGAAACTAGCTCACAGCCTCTAGGTCCCATTTTCCAGCCCCAGCTCTCAGCTCCCAGGAACCAGCTCCCAGAACCCAGCCCCTAACTACCTGCATTCAGCTCCTAACACCTAGCTCTCAATGTCAGCTCCTAGCACCCAGCCTCTAGCTCCCAGCCTCCACTCCCAGCACCCAGCTCCTAAAACCCAGCCCCCAGCCCATATCTCCCAGTTCTTAGAATCCAGTTTCCAGAATCCAGTCTCTAGTTCCCAGCACTCAGAATCAAGTACCCAGTCCCAAGCTCCCAGATTCTAGCTCCCAGTCCCTAGTTCTCAGTTTCCAACCCCAGCTCTGAGTATCCAGTTCATTCTAGTTCATAGCTCATAAGCCATAGGGCCCAGTTTCTAGTACCCAGCGTCTGGTTCTTAGCTGCTAGGCCCACAACCCGAACCCCTAACATCTGGCTTCCAAATGTAAGGACACAGTCCCCAACCCCTAACAACCACCTTCTAGACTATCTCCCAATCTACACCTTCTAGTTTTTAGCTTGTAGATCCCAGCTCCTTGCAGTCCCCTATCTCCAGTCCCTTGTTCCTTCTCAGATGAGCTCCTGTCAGTTTCCTGCCAGGCCTCATTCTGACCTTTACAACCTCCACATTGCCTCATGATCACCCTACTGGCAGGACCAGCACTGAGCCGCAGACATGGTTTGTTCTCTCCTCAAAGCCCTATGTCTATTCCTGGATCCTGACACCCAACATTTACCCCCAGGACCCTGGCTATGAACCTCTCCTCCCAAAGTCCATTGTTTCTCACTCAATGCCTGCACAGGAACACCAAATATGCCCCTCCTACTCTCAGTTCTGGCTGTAGCCTAGGATGTCTCCCACACCTCCTCTGATTCTGCCTTGGGGCTCCTATTGACTTTATGGATCTGGCCACTCCTGATCCCATACTTCACACTTGCTGTGTCCCTCCTGTGTCTGACTCAGCTTTGGTAGTTCTGTTGTGCTCCCCAATACAATTTAGACACTGCATAACTCTCATCCCTACCCATACCAACAATGTCTCCCATGGCTTCTGCAGTCCATCTCTGTCTGACTCCAGCATCCAATTCTGTTGGCATGACAGTATCTCTTCCATAGCTTGTTTGATCCCTGCAATGGACATCTCCCACCCTCGTGTGACTTAGTCTGAGCAACAGGTTGGTCTCTTGACCCTGATGGCTTGGTTTCTTCTCTGCTCATCGTGGACCTTCCTTGGTATGGTAACTCCCATATATATCCCTCCACCCTCTCTCCTCCACAGAACCACTGCTCCTTGCCCACTGAACTCACTGAACTAGTGTCTTGAGCTGGTTCCTGCTCAGGGGCTGCTGGCCCCTCCCAGCCATGGCCACTCCCAGTCACAGCCTATGAGGTGTGAACTCCTCTGAGAGCCACAGCAACTAAGAATGGGATTGAAACCTGGCTGGCACTTCTTGCTTCCTGAAGTTCCCTTTTTGTTTGGGTGATTTCTATCTTAGAAGCTTGGGGGGAGTCCAGACACACTAGGGCCTCTCATGTGGGCATATGGATAAAGGGTGT